CGGCGACATCGCCGGCGGAGGATTCGGTCTTCTCTCGCGCAAATACGGCTTAGCCGCAGACAACGTATTGGACGCCATTCTCATCGCTCCGGACGGACGGATTCTAGACCGGGAAGCCATGGGAAAGGAGCTCTTTTGGGCCATTCGTGGTGGCGGTGGTGGGACCTGGGGAGCGGTTTATGCTTGGAAGATTCAGCTCCAGACCGTTCCCAACCGGGTCTCCGCCTTTATCGTGAATCGGTCCGGTTCAAACCGGGAAGTGGCAGAGCTGATCGATGTCTGGCAGAAGGTGGCTCCGGCTCTTCCGGATGAGTTCTATGTTTCGTGTTTTGTGGGTGGGAGTCTACCGGAGTCGACCGGGTTCGGAATATCGGTCACGTTCAAGGGTCTATATCTCGGGCCGGTTCGTGAGGCACGATCAATTATGGCGGCTCGGTTTCGTGAGCTCAACCTACTCGACCGGGAGGTTCGAGAGATGAGTTGGATCGAGTCGGTGGTTTATTTCTCGGGTTTAAAGAATGGTAGTTCGGTTGAGGATCTCTTAGACAGAAAGCTTCATACCAAGACATTTTTTAAAGCCAAGTCCGATTATGTTCAAGCTCACATAGACGTGGAGGATTTGACCAAAATGGTCAATATGTTGTCAATGGAGCCTAAGGCTTACTTGATTATGGATCCGTATGGAGGATCGATGGCTCGAAGAAGGATCGATGATCTACCATTTCCGCACCGGAGTAAGAATCTTTATGCCATTCAACATTTGATCGAGTGGACTCGAGCTGATGATGGAGGTAGAGAGGGGTATATTCAATGGATAGGAGAATGGTACGAGTTTATGGGGCCGATGGTGTCACGCGAGCCGAGGGCCGCTTATGTGAATTATCTTGATCTAGATTTAGGGCACATGGGAGGGGGGTCGGATTGTATGGGGTGCGAAGATCACGTAGAGAAGGCAAGAGAATGGGGGGAGAGATATTTTTTGGGAAATTATGATCGATTAGTTCGTGTGAAGACGATTGTTGATCCTGATAATGTGTTTTGGAACGAGCAAAGCATACCGCCGTTGACATTAAGTCAACGGCTTGTGGGACATGGCATGGTATAAGATTTTAGGGTTTAATTATTAATTTTAATTTGTTTTGAGTGTAAAATAATTGCATGATACTACTTCAAAAATTCAACACCGGTGTATTTAATTTATCAGTATGTTGCTTATTTGGATGTACTTTTAATGAAGCTTTGTGCAGATAAGCTAAGAGCACAAATCAAAGAGGCCACCGTCAAGAAGCCAATTTAATTACGTAATTGCATGCTGTCCAATCATTTTTTTTATATAAGATTTGCATACATACCAATCAATTATTATGGTAATTATGCATCTAGCACCTAAACTTCATTATACATAATATATATATATATTAAAGATTGATTGACGGTCGGAGACAACAGGTCAACCTCTATAGGTTGAACTGAACGAGGGGCGGACCACCCTTCCAGTCCTTGTGCTATTCAAATTCTTCTGAAAGGGCTGAGGTTCGAACCCCCAACCTGAGGGTCTTATGCCAAGACCGTTACCAATGAGTTAGGGCTCGCGTGCGGGCATACGCGCGCGCGCGCGCGCACACACACACCAGCCACACAGGTTTCTGGTACAATGTATCAGGTATTGTTGATTATCTTGCTTCTCATGGAATTACTACAATTCTAGGAGAAAGACATACAATTGCGCAATTGCAAGGACTAGCGTGGAATTTAAAACCCTCTGATCAATCCACAGTCCAAATTCCACATCAATTACATACCGATCAAAGGATTGACATACTCTCCGTCATTCTTTATCAGACTATACCACCAATAAACCACCTCCCATTGCATACCATTCCACCAATGACACGGAAAACCCTGAGCCTGATAATAATGATGAATTAATCTACATGGCTTATGAAGATGATCCTATTTGGGACGATGATCCTCATACTGAAGATATTCCCATTTGGGATAACTCAGCGAAGGAAGATTCAGATGATGAATTTTCCTTATGCTTATATATAAATTCATTCAACAATGAAATTTCTCAAATTTTCCCGGAAGGTGGTGGGGAAAGTGCTTATGAAATCTTTGATTCTGAAAATTTTGATAACCCAATCCTATGTCTAAAAACTCCACCAAAACTTGAACTTGAACCTCAATTTTGCCATACCTACATTGAAGATCAATTAGCTGACCTTGAGCTTATGTTTACATACCTTTCACCTCTTTTCTTCTTTATCTGTTAATAATTATCTTATGGATTACAATTGTATTGCAAAGCTCATAATTAATGCTTTCAAAATCATGATGTGATCTCAGACCACCATGATTGTGACATCCCTGGATGGTGACTTTAAACACTCTAAATTTCCCTAAAATATTATAGACAATAATTAGGTGAAAAAAAGTGCATGAAAAGTTGAAATTGTTATGAATTAATAACTCATTCCTGTTTCAATTTAATGCACTTGCACATAATGATGATGAAATCTAGGCATTGTTTTTGCTCATTAGATTCATCATTCTTAAGTTATTTTGTAATCACTCATGCTCTCATAAACCCAAGCTTTAGCTTGGAGTTTTCAATAAAGCCAAGCTTAATTGACTCTGAACTTTGGCTTTAACTTGGAGTTTTCAATTTGTTATGTTCTACTTTGTGCATTATTTAAATATCAAATTTATTGCATTTTTCTAGACATCCAATTCTCATTGGATTGATAAGTTATTAATAAGTGCAAGTTGTCCTTGTTTGTAGTATTTTTTATTATAAATTAATAATTGAATTCATTTCTCCTCTTATGTATCTTATTAGGCCTGTATAATTTCTTAGAGTGATACTGTGATAATATTTGCCATTAGGCGTAATCTCATTTTCTTTCTTCAAATGACTCGTGTTCATTTTTTTTCATCATAAATTATTTATTTAATATTTATATATCTTTTAATCTTAAAATTGATTAATCTTGAGCCAATAAGATTTCTCTTGTCAAGTTTCTTATTTTGATCATAATTATATTAAAATTAAATAATAGTTAAGTCTCCCATTAATGTTTTGAAATTTTTAAGTGTGCTTCAAATCTTTGATTTGGGCTCATTTAGAGTTCGATCGAACTATTTTAATTTTGGTATTCAATTCAAATATATATAAATGCTAAATTTGGAGTTCAAATGGTTGTAAATTGACTTTATAAAGTTTTGATTTGAATCAGTGCTTCGTCAAGATTCACATTTTATCAAGTGGATTTTTTTTTTATAACATATTAATGTGTTGAATCCGATTTTCTCATGGCTGGCACCCAGATCATGCTAACAAGTTTGGGAACAAAAATAATAGAGAGATATATAGTAACCAAGTATACCTTTGATTTGAGGGTAGAAATGCAAAAAGTAATAGATTTTGGTGAAAAATTTAGAAGAGGGAATAAGAGAATTAAGTCATTGGTCCGATATAATAACCGGAACCAATAGCTTTCCAACGGATACCACCCATCCATTTCTAATTCATTAATAACCAACGAGTTTACGAGTTTACTCGTCGGTTAACCAACAATTTTCATTTCCGATGAGTGACATCGACAATCTTTACCATCAAAATTTAATATATTAGGAGTTGACAGTAGGTACCATCTGAAAGTCATCGGCTTGACTTAACTGACATTCAATTGATCATCGATTTTCCCTCTGCCATTTTTAGCAGTAATTCCTTTAGTGAAACAGTACAGCAATCATCTTCATGCAAATCACTTCCCCCTGGCGTGATTCACTCTATTTTTATGCTTAAGAGGCAGCCTATGGACATCAAATCAAGGTGAAGCATTCCTTGCACTAATCATTTCTTAAATCCTATAATTTGGTGAACCTTAATTAGCATTTACTCATCCAGCAAGCAAAGTTTAATCAAAATCAACCTTCCATCCAATCACAAGTATTAATTTCCAACTCTACGATAAGTACAACTTGGCAAGAAAAATGTGTCAACAAAAAGTTATTCCATGAGAAAGTAAAAAATTAAAACTTGTCACACTGCCTGAATAGACTCTTTAATTGTTCTTCCTACACCTTCAATTTGCTTTGCTTCTATTACCTGAGTCTCTTTGTTCTTGCCCCACAAAAGGATATAAAGCCCAGCAATTACAAGAACAGATCCCAAAAGACTGCATATTACAGAAGTAATAAGTGAATATAAATGTTCATGATTATAATATTAAGAACAATAATAATCAAATGATTACCTTCCAAGGTGCAATGGCTCACTGAGAATGTAAAGATCAATGACACCAACAATAATTTGGGTCAATGGATTAAAAGCTGCGGTAAAAACCGGACCTTTTTGTTTAATGCACCATGATGATGCCAACAAGCATATTCCCGAACCCAGCAGACCCTGAAAACATGAACTTTATCAATAAATTTGCACCCTAAATTACAGAAAAATTTTATGTCTGGACTCTGGACGCAGGTCTACGTGTGGACTCTCAATAATATATCGTCATGCTTGCTATATTGGACCCACCTAAAAAAATATTAAAATGAAAACACGGACTCCTCAATAACCCAAAAAAAACCCAAAATAACTTTCACAGTGTTATTTCCGGGTTACTCTTCAATAACCCCAAAATAACAACGCGGGGGTTATTTTGAAGTAGGGCTGTCGAAACGGCTTGTTGTTCGCGAACAGCTCGTGTTCGGCTCGCTAAGAAGCTCGTGTTCGGCTCGTTCGCTAACTTAACGAGCCTCGAACAATAATTTGTTCGTTCGTGTTCTGCTCGTTTTGGCTCGAAATACAACTAATCAATTATCAATCAATTATATATATATGTCTCATGAGTATTATTTTTAAGAAAATTAATTGACTACAAGGCTACAAAGATTTATAATCAATTAAAAGTATTAATGAAGAAAATAAAATAAAAATTATTAAATTTGATTCAAATGATGTTTTAAGATTCAAAATTATTAAATTTGATTCAAATGATGTTTTAAATCTTGCCCCAAACCTTAACTTCTTATGGCTATATGATTAGGGTTGTCAAAAAGTCTCTTTGTTCTTGAACGACTCGTGTTCGGCTCACTAAGCAAACGAGCCGAACACGAACACACTTTTTGAGCTCGAAATATAAACGAGCCGAACACGAGCTGATCCTGGGCTCGCTCGCGTTCGGATCGTTTACACCCCTATTTTGAAGTTATTTATGAGTTGTTTCGGGGTTATTGGAGTGAAATATGTGAGTTTCTTTTCAATAACTCCAAAATAACATCTGCGGTGTTATTTTGAGGTTATTGAAGTGGAACTGCGGAGATTATTTTGGAATTATTTCGGATTTTTTGAAGTGGAATATGAGTTTCTCTTCAAAAACACCGAAATAACCTCAAAATAACGTCTGAGGTTCCATTTTAATGACCCTGGAATAACATTTGCAATGTAGCATATGTGACGCCATATTATTGGAGTCCGCACGTAGAGCTACGTCTGGAGTCTGGCATAAAATTTTTCTCTAATTTACAACAAGTATGGCCCCATATACTTTATTTTTTAACTTATAGACTATTTTCATCAAAATGTTATATATATCTTTGTTTATTTTAATTTGCAATATTTTTTATTAGTCCTATATATATATACATATGTTCTGGATCCCAAATCAGCTTTTGCTTACCATGTATAACACAGTAGCAACCTCCATCTTGGACCTGAACAACCAAACTGAAGCCCCCCTCTGTGTAATCAAGCTCAGCACCAAAACCTGTAAAAAACTTTGGAAGAACATGACTGCAGTGCTGGTGTATAGTGCAGGATAAATCTTCAGTATCTTAGACTGAACAAGGAACCAAGATGACCAGCAGAAGCAAGCTCCAAACAGAGCAACAGATCCCAGAACCCATTTCCAAGTCCTGATATGATTGATGGACTCTTCTTGTTGCTGGGAGGATTTGAAGTTGTCCGGAGGGCTTGTTAGGGCCGTTCCCTTGTATAGTGTTAGTAGCATTGCGCCTGCTACGCATACTGTGGCTCCCAGTATCTTCATCTTCCCACTTTTTATCTTCAGATCCACTCTCTCAAGTCTGCAGTATTGTGGGGTTCTGGAGCTGTTCAGTTCTCAAACCTTGGGGCGTTTATTCCATGAGGACACCAGAATTAAATTTATACGCGGGGCACCCACGTGCTAAGTAGGCCCCACTGTAATAGACAGGTTGAATAGGTTTTATAGAGGAGTGAGGCTCACTTGCCACATGACATTTACCTACTGGACTCTAGACGCAAATTTTACTTCCATGTCCTCATGAAATAAATTTTGTGTTTTATTTTCTCCTTATTATTATTATTATTATTATTATTATTATTTATGATGAAGTGGTGGAAATTAGGGGTGTGAATCAGCCGAACACGAGCGAGCCCAAGCTCAGCTGGTGTTCGGCTCGTTTATATTTCGAACTCAAAAAGTGTGTTCGTGTTTGACTCATTTGCTTAACTAGTCGAACACGAACAAAATGTTGTTTTGACAACCCTAATCACTTAGGCATAAGATGTTAAGGATTAGATTAAGCTTTAAAAATTATTGTTTTTATTAAAACATCTTTGAAATCTAATTTAATAATTTTTATTGTATTTTCTTTATTAATACTTTTCATTCATTATAAACCTATTCTGTCTTGTAGTCAATTTAATTTTTTAAAAATAGTGCTCATCAATAGATTAATGAGCAGTATTTCGAGCCAAATTGAGCCGAACACAAACGAACAAATTTTAGTTCGTGTTCGGCTTATTAACTTAGCGAACGAGCCGATCACGAGCTTCTTAACGAGCCGAACACGAGCTGTTCGCAAACAACGAGCTGTTTTGACAGCCCTAGTGGAAATAACCTGAATGGCAGGGCTATGAGAAAAGTCATGACAGGAACCATGTTGAGGAAGGCACAGGCGAAGGTTGTTGAAGTGCATTGTAGTCCCAGATAGAATAAATATTGGGTGAGGGAGACGCTGCGAGAAATTAATAAATAATAAGACAATAAAAAAAAAAAACATAAATTTAATAATTTCATATAAATAATCTGAATATTCTTCATATAATTGTCTTAAGAAAAATAAAAGCTCATGAAAATTTATGAACGAAATTATTTTCAAAAATTTTTAAAAAATACGTGATTATTATTTTATAAAATACGAACTTTAATAATTTTTTTTTTTAAGCAAAGACAAAATAAACACTAATGAATCTTAATTTTATTTTCAAAGAATATACTTATGAGTTGGAGTGCTAAAACTTATAACTACAAATAATTAGGGCACCTCCAACTTATTAAAAAATAACTGTGAAGTTGCTGAAAAATAATCTGATGTTCAAAAATGTGGGGTGACTATTATAATTTTTTTTTGAAAAATTCAGATTGTTGCCACCGCTCCTAGCCAAGATTGATGAGAAAATACAGATTTCAGCGGTAGCTTTTAAAAAAAGCTAATAAAATACAATTTAACTAGAGAGACAAAATTGCACCTCACAACCACTACACCGCCGCCCCAAACAAACCATGCCCAGATTTTTCAATAAATCTATGATTTTTTTATATAAACATTAAAATTTAATATTTTTTTCTTATATAATTTAGTCAATTTAATAAATTTATCTTATTTAAAAACATTTTTTTATTCAATACTTAAAAAAAGACATATAATGATTTTGCCCATCCTAAAAGATCACGTTCATTCACCCTTACTAGAATATATATATATATATATATAGAAGAGAGTTTAGATTACCCAAGCAGAGCGCTAAGAAAGATATGCATAACTATCGCAGTGGTGAGCTTCAACACAGCCTTGCGCTCGCGCACATAGGCCACAGGAGCCATCAACAAAGTAGCAACAAGCTGCCTAAACATAATCAGAACCAGATGATTCATCCCTCCATCAATCGCTTTCTTCACCATTACATTGCCCACCGCAAAAGCCGCTGATACCAACACCATCACTACCACTTCCTTCCATCCCATCCTTCCAACCCCAATTCTTCTTCCTTCAACTTCTGAGACAGAAGAGCTTTCATGCATCTCTATTTAAGCTCAGGCATAACATGTGTCCTGCTCCGCAATGGCAAAGCATTGTCAGCCATGATGTTGCCGGAAGCATCAGGGCTCTTAATTAGCGGGAATCCACGTTTTAATTGTTAGGTTAAGCGAGATTAAAGATAAAATGCTTTTCTTTTCATTTCGAATTTTGAGGAGAATGTTATCCTGTTTTAGTATCAAATGCTCGACTCCATGAGGAGATATATACCGAGGCAGGTAGTAGTTTTCGGTCACATGGGAGTATGGTGCTACAAATAGTGTTGTTTAGCTTTGGCCTTTTCAGCTTGAGAAATGTTATTGCTAACTGTGGGCGGAACCAATTTCTTTTTTTAAGGAGGACCCCCTCTAAATATAATATGAGAGGGGCTAGGATAACAAAGGGCAAAATTATATTTCAGAAGGGGCAAAAAATCAAATTACGAGCAAAGACCAAAATTGTCCTCTCATCAAGGGCAGACCCAGGTAAGGTGGAAGGGGGCAATTTTGCCCCTTTTAAAACATAACTTTACATTTCATTACCTTAATCCCTCCCACGTTGAATCCAGGGGGTTGTTTGCCCGCTCACCCAACCTCTTAGGTTGGGTCTAGGGGGAGTCTTTAAAATTTAAATTTATTTAATACAATATTTTAATTATATTTTGTTCCGAATCAAAATATAAATATAATGAAATAAAAATAAAATTAGAAATTAAAATAAAATTGATGACGGATGGCTTTTAAACTTCCATCAAATCATCATTAAGCATCTATATTGTGTTAGCTAAGAAATATTACTTTTGTTGATCCCTCACAATGACATGGCTTAGAACAAAATCTATCTTCTCGTTAGGATTTTTCCTTCAACATGCCATTCTTCTGTGCATTTATATCATGAATTTCATCATATCTCAAATCTATATAGTATATACTCAGTTATACCATGAATATATGGTCTTTAGCACTCATAATTATAATAATACTGAAGACAAACAACCAACTAAAACTAGCAG